GTTATTATAATAAATCCATGGCAGACTATTTTAATGTATATATTCATTGTCACAATGAATTCTTAATAGTTTAATAACTCAAATTGATCATTTTATAAAACCTAAATCATTATAGGAATAAAATTGTTCATTGGACCAATTTTAATGAATTTTTTATTAACACCAATGAATACTTTTATTGTATTTACGTACATTTTTGGTTCAGTGTATATTTAGCTAGTACTGGGCCAATAGCTGATCTGGTTGTAAAACCCTACATGGGAAATTTTCGCAAAATGGATCAGTTTAAAATCGCTATTGTTGTTTGAGAAGATAAATCTTTCTGAAGATCGGACTCGTCCGTAGGGAAAAATAAGGAACGCTACAGCCATCAGAATGTTCACATTCGCGCGCTGCTTCGCACAAGCATTTTACTATTACCGTTAGTATTTTGTATATTCTAAATCGAGACATGTTTCCGATCCCTATACTGCATCCAAATTCAAATGTGTAAAAAATAACTATTTTTACACGGTGTTTTAACTCTTTAAACAGATTCTCTTTTATTTTAGTGTTTATTGTAAATCTTTCTTTCAATTTTAATATTTTTAAGAATTTTTTTAATATGTTTAATATATTTAATAACATTTTAATAACTAAATCGAGAGAGGGGAAAAGAAACATCAATATACATCTAATTCACAAATCTGCTTTCTACTGAGAATCTCTAAAGTCTGGCAGTTTTATCTCTGTGTTATCTATAGTTTCTCATTCTATACTCTTTATTTTTAGAGAAAGAGGGTAATGGAATATACTATTTTTTTTACTGAAATAACTCAGATATTCATGTGATATAACTACTTTTGATACAAGTTTGTTAGCCATAGATTGATGCTATAAGTTTTTTAGGTATACAGAATATGATTTATAAAAAACTGAAGAGGAAAAAAAGGTTGCGGTTATGGAACAGATGGGGAGATATGGAATATCACGAATCAGTAGGTATATGTATAGTAGGTGTAACTTTACACGTTGGATACATGCACACATTTGGTTACCAAATTTAGTTCAATATCATATCATTTGAAGCAGTATTCAAGGCTTCCAAGCTAGACTGAAATCCACCATACAACATACTTTCCAAAATTACATAAAAAGTGTAGAAAAACTGCGAGTAACAATTACTTGTTTCAAATATCTATTTCAAAGGTTCATATATTTGTATATCATAAGTTCATCACAAGCGTCAAATTTATTCAAAATATATTCTGAACCCTAGTGAGCTTAATGCTTCAATCAAGACTATTAAATTAAAACAAATTCGTTTAACAATTTGTTTACTAAAGTTTCTTCTTCGAGCAATTTTAACATTCTTCAAAAGGAAATAAATTCTTGTTTAGAGAGTACATAATGAGTTTTTTCTAAAATTTATAATAAATATATTTTAAGATTATTATAAAACATTTTATTAAAGATAACCCTTACTTATAAAAAGAAAGTAAATTGAGTAATCGCTTTTTTTTTAAGAATAATATTTTTCTGTTTGTATACATCTGCTACTTGCAAAAACTAAAATGCAGCTTTCACGACAACGGTAAACAGTAATGATCCACCAGTGATCATATTATAACATCTAAGTAAACTGTGAAGAAGTAAATTTGACGATTGTTCCGAATGCAGCGTAAACTATAAGAGATATCGCGGATCCGTAACTCTCCATCTATTTCGTAACCGCGCCTTTCCTCTATCTAACTACTTGAACAGTTTTTCCTCATTTTAATATATTATAAATATTGTACATATTTTTTTTAATTTTAGAATTTTTGCAAATTATTTAAATATGTTTAATATCTTTATTGGGTGAAAATGTGTTTTCTCGACATAATTATTCATGACTTACCGGGACACCCTGTGCTGTGCTATCCTACCGTGACTGGGCAGTGTCACGTTGCTGTCGCTTTTCGACCAGGTGACGGAATTCTTGGCGTCGGGCAAGTCGACCTTGCCCAAGTAAGCCTCGCAGAAGAGCCTCGCTGTACCTCCCAGGGGCACCAACTGCGAGGTCGGTCTGTAAGTGGGCAAAGGTTTTCCCGTGTAGACCCCGGACTCCTCATCTGAAATTCAGATCACGTCTACAGTGAATTTAAATTATAACATTTATATACGTATAAAAATCAACATATATAAGTCACACGTATAATACACTAGTTTTTCAGAAATTTAACCGGTCGTCTTATCTTCGATGGCGTTTAATAGCACCCGATGATTAACGACTCTTCGCAATATGGCGGACATAATGAATCTTACGAAAAATGAAAATCACTTTAACATCGCCTCGCATTACCGCGATCCCCACGCCGCGCCATTGCTATGAATTACGAGTGGCCCGCATTATCATGATATACTCCCCAGCCATTTATTGTGCCACGCTTCATCCCCTGCGTGTTCATATTTAATACGAAAACACTTTTCAACAGTGTCTTTCCATCTTGCTCCAAGGAGGTCGTAAAAACCATCTATCTGCCATACGAATCTTTACGGATCCACCAAAAAACTAACTCAAAAATGATTATTATGAAAAATAATTCCTCTCATGCAACGTAAATTTAAATTGTCAACCTTCCTAATCTTTAAATATTCGATATTAAAAAATTTAATTTCTTACGATTTTTATAATTTTTTTTATTAATTACTCCAAATACACATTCCATCTAAAGTAATAGTCTTTGCGATCGTAGAATTTCTAAAAATATTTCTAATAAACTTCTTTTGAAATGAGGGAAATGATCTCGGTCGAAATTTTTCGTATCTCACAATTTTCGAAATTGTGTTAAAATGTTCCAGCTTCATTTTTAACTTTGAAAAAGGAAAATAATCGCAGGAAGCTACGTAAAGTGAATACGGTGGATGGTCAAACACTAAGACACCTTTTAAAGCTGTGTTGACTCTTTATTTTTCTCGGTAAGTAAAAAACGTACTTTCATTTTTGATGTCACAAATAAATAATACAACACAGAGAAATATATAACTCGACAGAGAGTTAGAAATAAAATTTTAGAAAAAATAATTTCGTACAATATTTTATAGCTTTAGTTATTTAGAAAAAAGTTCAGAAATTTTTACAACGAACCGTACATTGACTAATAAAATGAAATTTAAAATCTTAACTCTCTTAAGCGGATATTAATTTCAATGGCAAAGTTATTATTTCTCGCATTCCCTTAAATTCTTTGATATCAAATAGTAATGAAATATTTCGCTTTAAATTTTAATTAGTAGTAATAAACTTCCTGAAACGCTTTAAAAGTACCGTGATTTTCACTACTTTCACCATAGATGGTGATAGACACTCGATTAATTAATTTAATTAACTCGATGCATCGGGCGGCCTTTGAAACGCGCTGTAGAGCGCGGCATCGAAGTGCACGAGAGTGTGTAGACATCGAGGGCATCGAATGAAAGAAGCCGGTGGATAGTGGATGGTGGATGGCGGAAGGTCACAGGTCGTTGAGTCGGAACGACGAGAGAGAGAGAGAGAAAGAGAGAGAGAGAGAGAGAGAGAGAGGAAGTAGAGACAGCGCATTCAGGACGCCCGGATGGGTAATTCAATCAGCAATGATGCGCGAAAAACGCGGAATTAAACAACCGTTTATTAATCGAAAATGTGCGCGCATCTGAAAAGGGCGCGTGTTACGCTTATCGATTACCGTTGATTAAAATTGATGGATGGCGATGTTGAATGGTCAACACTCGATGTCATTTGAATTATTGCTATTTTGTTGAATGTTTTGCGTTTATTAACCGTCCGGTATGATATCAGAGTAACGCAAATGTAGAGGCTCTATATTATGGAACATTTTGAAATTCACAGTGAAATCGCGTAAAATCAATACACAGTGCTCATAAATTCGCATTTCGCGCTATCTAGAGATCCAAAGGAGAGGTTTGCTCGCGAATCAACTTGGGAAATGTATTTTTTAATTATGCTTACTTATTTCTGAGATAAATGAGTCTCCGAGCTGCAGCGGAGTCTTAATTTCGGTAATATCCTCCTCGCGTATTCTCGCAACAATATAATGTATAAAGACACATTTATACTTCTCAGCTTGACGCGCTCCACGATTTTTTTTTTCGATGCATTATAACTACACTCACAACTAAGTAGAATTGGTACATTTTCAGTAAGATTTATTTTTTAAATAAAATAGATACATGACTTGTGCTACACTGAAAAAAATATTAAATAAATAAATAAATAAATAAATTTCTAAGTCAATATTTACTAAATGTAAATATACATTTATTTTTGATCCAAGAACCATCTATTTGATTTAACTATAATTTTCTTATCGAGTAAATATTTATTTACTGTAAGTAACGTTTACTTAATACTATAAAAAAATATATATTAAATTTAGTAAATTTTTTCCAAAATGAAACTTGTAACGAAATAGAATTAGCACAATTTCCTTAGATTAATTTTTTAAATACAATAGATATGTGTGAAATCCTAATTTCTAACAAAGGAAAGGCGCCAATAGGATCTATTCTTTCCGTGATCAGTATACATCACAAATTTGAAGTACGGTATTCAAACAGCCTTTATTGATTCATTTAATGTCCCCGATTTTATCTTGATATTCCATTCTTCGCAGCTATCGTTACTTGAGAATCCCGGACACGAACAGGTGCACCAAGTTTCGACCTCATTTCGAAAAAGCGCGGCGCATCGAACGTTCCGCTGTTAGTATGCGTCTCCGCGCGCCTTGCCGCATCCGGCGATGCGGCATCCGGCCAGCCGGATATCGCATCGGATTCGAGTACAAACAAACTGCTAACTGTCGGAATTATGATACATAGGCCGCGCATTCATTGCCTGCCGCCATCGCTGTAAACGCGAACATCCGCCAGTGATGTGGGCCAGATTAGGTTAGGATTAGGTTAGAGTTAGGCTCGGGTTAACATGGCGATCCCGTTATCAGTTTACTTCTTCCGATTTGTGTGAACATATCTACACTATAGAACAATCTAAAAATGACCGTTCTCGTAATAAGAAGAAAGTATTCAAAAGAAAAAAAAAACAGATATAATTTCAGATACAAAAATAATAAAAAAAAGTTCCGTCTCTCACCAACTTTCTCTCTTTCCGATCTCAAAGTTTATACTATAAAATAAGATGCAGATAAGTTGAGAGAAGCTTCATGGTTGCGTCGCCTAACTTAACTTATAAGCGTGAACGCGAAGTGAACGAGTTAATGTTTTCCTCAAAGAGTGGAAGACAAGTTCCATTAGTCGAGAAGTAAAGGGTACTTGAATATGTTCGCCTAGGTTCGCAATTAATATCGTATAATCGAATCACGACGAGGTCTTGAGCGCCGCTAAATTCGGCGAATTGCCGTGAGCGCCTTCAAAGCGGTCGCCATTTTCCAGAGCTGATCCTCGTGGCGAGACTGCTGTAACGATTTAATTATACCTTGCGGTAGGATAGGTAATTTCGTGAGAAACCAGGTTGCACTCAGTTAGGTTCGCCAAACGAAGGCGGAGGTTGCGAGAACACTGTAACACAGCTAACTATATATTCGCGATGGCGATTTTCCAAGATGGCGGCGACTCGTTGGCTCGTCATGGCGGCCGGGCAAGACTATTAATCTCGTAAAGCTCTTGTAGCTTTACGCCCGCGTCGATATTTATCGGAAACTGGCCAATTTGTGCTCACCTAACGGCCTCGTCGTCGTTCGCGTAAGCCTCCCTTGGTTCCATTAGGTTATCCAGATAAAATATTGACGGAACCTAACCCTAACTTGATCGATACACAAATCTTAGAGACATGATAAATTGGCAATCGTTAAATAACACGACTGATAGTTACAGAGTTACTCAAAATAACGAACTTAAGATGAGTTAACGATGTATATACATGATAACAATTTTTTGATAAATATCTCAAAGAATTTTAAGACAATTAATAATTTATGTACCATAAAAGATACAATACGTACATCTTTTAAAAATTATGCATCTTTCAAGAATCATCTAAGTATTTTGAGCGATTAAAAATCAGTCTATTCTTAACGAAAATTTGATCGAGTTGGAGCGGTAATGAGCTATGTGAAGCTTCAATAAAATCTATCGCAGCAGTTGTTACATACTAGTATATCAAAGAAATAATCGTATGACTTCAGATGAATGGCTATCTTTCTTAATATCATGGCCATCTTTTCCCTAAAAATCAAATAAGATGGCCAATGCATACTTTGTAATATTTTGATAAAATTAAAGTTCTGTTAAGCATTTTCTCTTTAATTTCGATAGTATTTGTTACTTTAAGCTTCAGTGAAAGTAATATCCCAAATATTGTTAAAAAGTAACAAGAATAAATGTATGTTTTTTACATTTTAAAAAACTATGGCCATCATACCCGAGTTTACCCTACTTGATAGAATATAATTGTTAATATAAAGGAAATTGATTCCAAAGATGTTGATAATTTATCGAAGTAATTTTTAAATCCTCTACAATAATATATTAAATAATAAATGTACACTAAAAAAAATATAGTCAATTTTGCCAACTAAATATTTATTAGATATAAATATATATTTATCTGATACAAGAAATATTAATTTGATTTAACAATCATTTTTTTTACTGAACAAATATTTATTTAAGTAAATGTAAGTAAATGTTTAGGTTGGCAGTATTGAACTAAATATTTATTAAAATTGACTATATTTTTTTTCAGTGTACGTATTCCTCCACTTATTTTCTCTAGAGTGACATAATTAGGTTTACCATTTTTTTTTCTGCGGCTTCAACTATCCAAAACTTCCCTCGGAACACGTTCGCGTTTTGAGTTTCTACCACTTCCCAAACGCTATATCTGTTGCTGCTACGTGAGCGTGTCTTAAACGTGAACGAGCCCGGCGGACCAAGCCGAGTGCACGAGCGCGAAATTAACGCAAGATGAACCGCGTTCTGCACGGAGAAACGACGTAACGATCCACGTAACTGCGGACCGATAATCGAATGCAGACGGCTTGATTAAATCACTCTCTCCACATCCCTACGCCGCACGAAACTAACCCACCCCATCTCTCATCTCTTGGCGTCTTCC